ATTATCTTTTGTCTGTTTTCAACGCAACAAATGGGAATGTTGGGTCTACAATATACATATGGGTTAAGGATTTTATTATGTATTTTTCCTGTGTGTAATCAATTGATTTTACCTGATTATAGTTGATTTTTCCCTAAATTTCATCTTGTTTATATTACGATTTACAGACTGACGTTTCAATTGTTTGTCAGCTGATCGTGTGACACCGGCGTTTGACAGATGGATCTTTTGTAAATTAGGTTTTCGATCTTTTTAAACGGTTTTATAAATGATCGGAAAAATATATTAATAATTTTCGAAGATATTATGTTCATAGGATTATTATAATTTTAATATGATGTAATAAAATGTTTCACTCAATCCGTATGCATTAAATAAAATTTTACATCGAATTTTATTTTGGGTCTTTTGTTTTACTGGTTGCCAGTGTTGGATTTTGGGTTGGTATCTTGGAGTCCAGCGTCTTTTGCGGATGAAGTTGAGAAGCCATCTTGTCTTGGAAGGTCCGCATGGTGGAAAGTGATGATTACGGTTTAGCTTAAGATTTTTATCAATTTTTTTTTGTACTGGATTTGGTACTGCAACTAATGCCATTGTGACGTGAATGCCACTGTGACGAGGAATGCCACTGGGATACTGAAGACCAGACACCTGGATTTTCTCATGGACTGACTGGAACGACCACTGGGTGACAGATAAGACTTTAATCATCTCTTATTTTATTGCGTTTATGATTGATTAAAATTTATTACATTAAATATACGATCGTATGTGAACTTGGTATACCAGGGGATTCTTACCTCTAAATTTCATTTTATTCTTTACAGTCATTTAATCATAATCACAAATACGCATCAGGGTTGTTCACAGTTTAATCACAACAATATTTTGTGATACTATTCATGATTTCAAGAACTTTAAATTTAGTATTTATTAAACGAATCCAGTACATTTTAGACTTTTTAATCAGTACACTTTTTCCATACACCTCCCTTTTGATATCTCTTGTTCTGTGCATATATTTTTTAATTATTTACTGAGCTAGCTAGAACCTATTTGTAACGGAACCTGGTGAACCTGAGTTCCCATTATAAACTTTTTCACCCAAGGTGGCGTTATAACATGTGCAATTTACCTTCTAATGGATGTAACAAGTATGCAACAAGAGAAAAGTCAATAAGAAGACTTGCAATATATTCAGTCAAAAGAATTAATACAATTTCCGACAAGATCCTCACCTACCGGCATCCAAAAAAAAAATTGTATAAGAGTATACGGAACGGAAACGTTACGTGTATTATACGATACGTGCCTGACAGTATGCATTAATTACTATCTGGCTACTATTAAAACCACTATTCTTTGGAATAAAAAAAACAACTAGTGGAAAATATTATCTCAAAAAATATTCAGCATAGAAAACATGAACCAGTTTAAAGCGATTGGAATGATTGCTAGATATACCACCTTTGATACTAGCCTGGCAACAAAAATATCATTCAAAAAAAGACATTTTAGCACAAAAAAACTTAGGTAAACCCTTTGATAAACCCCAGAAAGCTTATTGAACCATCTGAATCAGAAACAGACAAAATAGCTCTTAGATTGTCATTTGTTTAATATAAAATGATCTTTATTTTTACAAAATCTTTAACATTGGTCACTTTTACAAAAAAATCCAGTTACTCCTTTATTAATGAAACACCCAATATATTATTCCAATATTGAATGGATAATTCATATATATTCAAAATACTATGGTTGCCTACTCTTTTAGACAATGTTTTTCTAAATATTTTCATTTTTATGATCTTTATTATTTGATGAAATCTAGGTGGCTGTGATATACATTTCGTTAATTTAAAAAAATCAAAGACCTAGAGTAAAATATTCAGCGGTAATAAAAGATACACCTTTAAATCATATTTTAATTAGTGCAGAATAAAAACTAAATATATAACATAAATATGACAAAAATTAGAAAAAAAATCTCAAAATGCTTACTTTCCAGTTCATTGCATAAAATGCCTTTCAGTTAAGAGGCATACGAGGAGTTCTACTTCGAAAAGCAGCCACAATCGTTTCTCACATGTTATCGACAATAGTTTGTCAAGTTTTGTAAACACTGTCTTTAACATTCCCCATAAATAAATTCTAAACTAGTTAATTCAGGAGCATTTAAGCATTCTATTAATTGTTGAATGCACACTGCAGTCACCAGTTAATAGAATAATATCAATTCTCTCTAATGTAGAATAAGTTTTCATTTGCGGCAAATTTCTGGTATTTTTTTGTTTTAACTGACAGAAATTGATAACTACATTTTGAATTAATTTGACAGCTACGTTTAAGTAACTTCAGGCGGAAGCCACCTAGATTTTATCAAATAATAAAGATTTACTGACACTAAATCATAAAAATAAAAAAATCTAGGAAAATTTGTTGTGGGGTATTCAGCTTTAATACCTCATATTATACTAAGTTAATTATTTATTAATACCTCATATATACAGGGTGGCGCACCTCATTCACCTCGAAAACGGAAAGATGTAGAAACAAAATATTTCATGGGTATATGTTGTGAGGCAATGCGCACAATTTAAAATTATTTTGAAATATACAGGGTGTGTTAGAACTTAGATCTATATCAAAGTTATATTTTTTTTATGGAACACCCGGTATTTTATTTATTTTTGGTTTCTTGGGCCCAAAAAAAAGCATTTATTATAAGGGTTAAATAGGTTTAATATTTTTGGGTTTTGGGATATTTAATGATATTTAAATTTGCAAGCTACAATAGAATAGATTATTAACACCCTGTACATTACTTTTCAGAATTAATTCTTACTGAAAAGTGTTATTGCTTCCTTAAATTTATACAGAGGTATCAAAAATTGCTGATCTATTTTAAGGATTTATTTTACATAAAAACTTCGTTATTTCAAATACAATACCCTGTATTTTTTAAAATCAATCGAAGCAGATTCAAATGCCCTTTCCAACTATATTAGGGTTTCCTATACCTATCTAGCTCAAATTTTGAATAAAGAGCAATTTTTCAATAAAATTGCTACTTAAGAGATCTAGTGTCGTCATGACAAGTTTCTAGTGACAGTTAGTAGCTATTTTCAAAATCGAAATTACTTAAATTTATACCAGTTTATTTATATTTAATTTACCTACAACAGTTTATAAATAATATTTATTAAATATGTATTTATTATTCTATCAAGAAAAACGCAGAACTAGTTTTAGTTTATTTTACGATGCCTTGTAGATATATGGATTTTCCATAAAAGAGCCAATTACTACAAATTCATTTTCTTCAGTTCTAATGACAGGCTGCCTAATAACTTTTATATAAACCACACTACCAGCTCTGCGAAATAGGACAAGTAGTTTTTCAAAGCAACGCTTATCAGGAAGATTCCTATTTGGATATCTTTGAGCATAAGCCCTTGAGGCAAGAAGCAATTTTCCTCTCAAAATAAAATCACTAGTAACATATCCATTCGTTCCGGCAGCAGATACTGCTTTATTTTTCTTTATGAAATAATGAATATTTACTTATTAAACTATTGTAAGTAAATATAAGTAAACTGTTATAAATTATAAATAATAATGAAATGAATTATAAATAATAATTGAAAATAGTTACTAACTGTCACTAGAAAATTGCCATGGAAACGCCGCGCCAGCCCTCTTGATAGCAATTTTATTTAAAAATCGCTTCTTATTCAAAATCTGAGCTAGATAGGTATAGGAAACCCTACTATAGTTTTAAAGAGCATTTGAATCTGCTTTGATTTATTTAAAAAAATACAGGGTGTTGCATTTAAAATATCGAAGTTTTTATATAAAAAATCCTTATGATAGATGAGCAATTTTTGATACCCCTGTATAAATTTAAGGAAGCAATAACATTTTTCAGTAAAGTTTATTTCTCTATGTTTAAACTCAGCAGAAGAATTAATTCTGAAAAGTAATGTACAGGGTGTTAATATTCTATTCTATTGTAGCTTGCAAATTTAAATATCTTTAAATATCTCAAAAACCAAAGATTTTAAACATATTTAACCCTTATAATAAATGACTTTTTTGGACCCAAGAATCCAAAAATTAAATAAAATACCGGGTGTTCCATTAGAAAAAATATATAACTTTGGTATGGATCTTAATTCTGACACACCCTGTCCATATGAAAATAATTTTAAATTGTGCACATTGCCCTCCCCCACATATACCCATAAAAAATTTTGTTTCTACATCTTTCCGTTTTCGTATAATCAACCGAGGCGAATGAGGTGCGCCACCCTGTATACAGGGTGTCCCACAATTAGTGCGACAAACTGAAAGGGGTTGTAGAAGGCATCAAAACAAGTCATTTGAGTATAGGAACCCATGTCCGGTATTATTAAAATGAGCGGAAGGAACTTGACTGGACGTGCACTAAGGTACCAACACGGACTGCACGCCCAACTATCAACAGCGAACAGGCGTGTGCATTTGTGTTTTCAACAGAATGGACGGCACTTTGAGCAGTTTTTGTAAATGTTTTGAATAAATAATGCAACTTGAAATTTACGTTTCACTCCACCTCCTGCCAAAACGGCACATATCCGGACATGGGTTCCTATACTCAAATGACTTGTTTTGATGCCCTCTACAACCCCTTTCAGTTTGTCGCACTAATTGTGGGACACCCTGTATGAAGTTATACCCTGTATAAATTTTTGGGCCAAATTTTTATTTGATTTAAAGTACAATAGATATTTCAACTACATATTAGGCTATACCGGGTAAATTCTAATTTCGGTAGCTTTTATTAAAATTTGTTCTTCATGTTAAGAAAATGTTAAATACGTCAAAAATTTTAGTCAAAAAAAATAAAACTCGCTTTTATTTTTCTGACATTTTCTTATTTTAGTTTGTTGATATTTTATTGATTATCTTAATAACCCTGAAAGTATTTTTTTTAAACATTTTAATATGTTTTTTAGGTTCTGTGTAATTCTGGTGGGCTTGTCGAGATCCCTCTAAAGGACTTTCCTGCCACAGTGGAACATTTATCATTGACAAGAAATAACTTTCCAGTGATACGAAGTGACTCTTTCTCGGGTCTGCGCCATTTAAGGAAACTGTCTTTGGACGGAAACAACATATCTCTTATAAAACCCTTCGCATTTAGGTAAGAAATTAATTTTAGTTTCAGCCTCCTAAAATAACCCTGTTCTAATAAATTGTATAAATACATTTGTATTAGACATATAATACAGGGTGGGTCTTAAGTAAGTGCAAATATATTGAGGGGTAATATATTTTGATCTTAGAAATAAAGGACTATGAAATCGTTCGCAAAAAAAAATAAAAAATTTGGAATTTTTTGGAAAATGTTTTAGGTTTTAGTTATCATTATCACTAGCAAATGAAATGTTACTTTTTCGGAACCGGTTTTAATTATTTTCGTGTTACGCGTGCGTAGTGAGTCGGTTGATTTTCAATTATGTTTCCTACATAACATAATAACAGTTTATATTAATAGTTTTCTACATAACTCCGTTATGTAGCCCGAAAGACGAACTAAAGAAATCTATCTCGAATATATTGAAGAATACCTTAAAATCCTCCAGCCCTTAGCTTATACCACAGCCCGACTCTACTTAACAAGCCGTGAACAAGGAAATCTGGCAACCCTGGTTTCAGATCGATCGATACACGTTTAGCCATATGATTTACGTTCATTGACCTGTTGTTCTGTTATGTTTTTGTAAATAAATCCAATTTTTTGAAAGAAAATATTGTTTAGTTAAAGACTAAAGTTGTGAAAAGTCTTACTGTGTGAGATTTGTAAGTTACCTGGACAATTTTTTTCCGTAAACATTGCGTAAAAACAAATATCCGTGGGTGAAAAATTCGCCAGGTTATAAGCGAGGTTAAGTGCTTTCTTCAAAGAATGGCGGCAAATTCGGCGGCGAATGAACATTTTGTGGTGCGTTTTAAAACAATTTATTTAAAGTTAATTGTTGTAATCAAAAATTACCATGCCAAGTCCTTGTTGTGTGCCTGGGTGCAAATCCAATTATAAAACTTGTCTTGATGCAGGAGAACCAGCGGTATCTGTTTTTAACTTTCCAAAGGATGAAAATCTTAAAGCCCAATGACTTAGGAATATTCCTAGGGAGGCATGATGACCCTCAAAATATTCTGTGGTTTGTGCTAAGCATTTTGTAGAAAGTGACATTATTAGGGAGGAGGATTATCGGTTGCCAGATGGATGGATCAATGCAAAAGGTTCCTACCAAAACTAGACTAAAGTTAAATGAAGTACCTAAAATATTTTCAAATTTGCCACATTACAAACAAAACATGTCAAAAACAGTCCCTGTTCCTCGAAAAAGTCCTGCAGAAAGAACCAAAGAAATGCAAGATCGAAGTGAGCAATTTAAGCATTTCTTCGGTTCTTTCAGCAGGACTTTTTCGGGGAACAGGGACTGTTTTTGACAAGTGGCATTTTTTTTTAGTTTTATGTGACAAATTTGAGCAAACCTTAAATAAACTTAAAAATTCGCGCCTCGATAGCCGGTAAAACGGTCCGTCCGTCGTGCATTTGCGCTCGCTAAAAACCGATCTGAATCTCTTGCCGGTTGCGGCGTTACCAAATGGTTGTTCACGGCTTGTTAAGTAGAGTCGGGCTGTGCTTATACCATCGATATCTCTTCGACATAGTGATCATAACACATCACTTTTTAAAGACATGTAATAATATAAATTTTATAAAAAAAGAACATATTTTTGTGTTTGTAGATGTTCTGAAAATTATAATGATATTGAAAAGTATAATAATTAAATAAGTAAGTATCATACTAGGAAAATTGGAAATGTAATTGGTAATACAAGAAAATTAATATTAACATTTAACAAAAAGTACTTAAATTGAATTCTGGTTGTCTTAACTTGCGGTTAATTATATTTATTTTTAAGTTATTTTACTAACTTAATTTGCAGATAATCATGATTTAAGTCAAAAATATAAATTTAGGTCATAAAAACGACTTAAATAACGTTTATATTGATTTAAGTCTTACAAAAATGACTTCAAATAAAATGATTTAAGTCAAAGACTTAAGACGTAAATCATTTGAACTTTATGTTGAATTTGACTTATTAAAACTTAAATTATTTTGTGATTTTAGAAATAACTTAAGGCTTAAGACGTAAGTCTTTTCAAAACTGACTGGTTGCAGCTCTGATTGAAATCACTAATTTATTCTACTAATTTCGATATTTTAAATGAGGCTTTACCAAATTAATTTCGGATTAGAGATTTCCTTTGTATGTGTGTTTTTTAGCGTCCTTTTGTGCGTTTTTTTTAATATTCCTAAACTACCATTAATACTGTATGAACGATAAAGGGACCTTGACAAAAAGATGACATTCACTATATAATTTTACATACAAAATAACAGCGGATTCCAAGACCAGCTTGACGTTTTTTTTTATGATCCTATTATATATTTATTACACGCAGTCCGATTACTCTAAATATCTGGAAATTATTTTGTGGTCATTTTGAGAAGTATTAGGTAATTTAAAAGTTTGAGACCAGAGTAGGAAATACAGGAATAGAACTACACTCAGATGCAAAAAAACGCAACGGAGAATTCTTTTAGCAACATATAGCTATATTTTTAACCCCATTTTCATATTTTTTTTAGAAAGCTGTATACAGGGTGGTCCGAATTGTATTCCAGAAACTTCGGCAGCATATTCTGCAGATTAAAATAAGTAAAAAAGTTCGTATAAATGTATGTCTTGAAATGCTTAGTTTCGGAGATACTGGGTGTAGAAGTTTCATTTTTATTTCGAATTTTTCCAAATAATTTAAGAAGTAACGTCAATATTTGGATGAAAATTGGTGTCTGGGAGTTCTCGGACATGAGAAGTTTGATTTTCATGTCAATATGACTCCTACTTGTAGAGGGCGCCACCTGCACATGCTTTAACTTGTTTGAAGAGTAATAACTTTTCCTCCATACCTGTATAAAACTACTGAGTAAAAAAATATACATTTACAACTTTTTTTACATATAAAACGTCTCTTGGTAAAAATCGCTACGAGTAATGGTTCTCGAGATATTTGAAAATGAATTTATCAATACCTATCATCATTGATAAATTAAATATGTTGACCAAATAGATATTAGACTGAAATCTTAAATTTGAAATCTCTTTGTGCCAAAAGTTCAACAGAAACTGAAAAAATTATGATTAATTTAAAAAAATAAAAATTTATTATTTCAGTCAAATAACTATTCAACGTGGGCTTATTTTTTGTCAATAATGACATGTATTGACTATTTCTATTTTAAATATCTTAAGAACGGTTGCTCGTTGCGATTTTTACCAAGAGACATTTTTTACGTAGAAAGTCATGGAAATGTATATTTTTTAGTCAGTAGTTTTATACAGATACCGTCGAAAAGTTATTACTCTTCAAAACAGTCAAAACGCATGTAGGTGGCGCGCCCTACAGATAGGAGTCATTTTGATATCAAAATCAAACTTTTCGTGTCACAAAACTCCCAGACACCAATTTTCATCCAAATATTGACGTTACTTTAGAAATTATTTAGAAAAAATCGAAATAAAAATGAAACTTCTACACCCTGTATCACATTTATACGAACTTTTTTACTTAGTTTTATATGCAGAATATGCTGCCGAAGTTTCCGGAATACAGTTCGGACCACCCTGTATAATTATGCCATCTTTTATTCGTAAACTCAGTTTTTTATAAACTTTAGTGTTTGGCATATTATACAGGGTTAATCGAGGGGTTGTTTTCTTACCCTAACTTTAAAACACCCTGTGCAATATTTTCATGTGTCCATTTTCCTAAAATATAATTTTGCAGTCAGGACCATGTTTCCTGAGCATTTTGTTTTTTGGATCATGTCAATACATGCCTTGGTTAATTTTTAAGAGCAAAATGAGCTTGCCACCAACAATTTGCATTTTTTTCAATTATCATTTCTTTTTTGAACTTTCTGAAACTTGAACGTTTTTTTTTCATTTAGTATAAAGTATCCAATGCAGTGTAATATGACGTTAAGACAATAGTCACCAAAATCATCCCGACGTATTAAAAAAATACATGAAAAAGTAATGATAGTTAAAAAAATTGCAAATTAATAGTTATCAGTTCATTTCACTCTTAAAAATTAACCAAAACATGTATTGACATGAATCAAAAAACAGAATGCCCAGGAGTCATGGGTCTGACCCTTAGATGTCTGACCGTAAAATTATATTTTTTTTTAGAAAATTTACAGACGAAATTATTGCACAGGGTGTTTTAAAGTTAAGGTAAAAAAACAACCCCTCGATTAACCCTGTATAATATGACAAATACTAAATTTTATAAAAAGCTGAATTTACGAATTAAACTTGATATAATTATATACAGCTTGCTAAAAAATTCATAAAAATAAGGCTAAAAATAACAGAAATATAAGACTTTAAATTGGACCAAAGATTTATTCGTTGTGTTTTTTGCATCTAAGTGTAGAATAAGTATCAGGTACCATTATTGCATAGGTCACAAAAATGGCAAGAAACGGAAAATGTATATTTTAATGTGAACTTACCGGGTAACTTAAAAGTATCTCCCGTAAATCGGCTACATTATAGTAGAAAATTAAATAAGTTGCGGAAATGCTTCTTATTTCTTTATAAGCTATTTGTATTTTTTACATTATAGTTTTAATATCTTAAAAATACTTCAAATTACTCATAATATACTCTAAACTGCTACTTAAATACTATATCTATACCCTCTATTTAGCATCGTTATTATTTTCGATTACATGATACCAAATAAATTTAGTACTAATATAGATAATTTTCCGATTTACCTCATATTTTAATATAAAAATAAAGACTTTCCAGTAACCGTAAATATTTTATATAATACTAAATTGAGTTGACTGGGTTTTATTACCGTAGGAAGATTTTTATCGTATATTTCCTTTAGGGGGTATCGAGTGCATTTCCGCTTTATATTTAGAGGCTTTCAAAGAAGAGTCTATTTTAGTTGGCTCTTCGATATTTATGTTCCAGGCAAATCTAGAATTGTGAAAAGAACTAAAACATCAATAAAATATCAACAAAGGGCTTTTTCTTCAGACT